CTGCCACCTTCACCTTCAATCCTCCCCGACTCTGATCCAAAAATTGCTCCAATCAGTCTTCGACGATCAACTTGGCGTATCCGTCCTCCAGATAGATATGGGTATTCTGCAATTTTAACTAATACTACCATTCCTACCTCTTACTTTCAGGCTGCTAAACAAACTTGTTGGGTCAAATTCATGCAAGAGAAACTTCAGGCACTTCAAGACAATCACGGTTGGGATATTGTTTCATGTCCTACAGATGTTAAACTCATTGGTTGTACATGGGTTTGCTCTCTTAAACTCTGATCTGATGGCTCTCTTGATAGATATAAGGCAAGATTGGTAGTTATTGGCAATCGACAGGAATACGAGAATGATTATGAAGAAACATTTGCACCTGTGGCTAAGATAACAATTGTCCGGCTGGTGTTATCTATTGTTGCATCTAAAAGTTGGTTCTTAAAGCAGATGGATGCCAAGAATGCATTCTTACATGGAGATCTCAAAGAAGATGTCTATATGACTCCTCCAGGCTTGTTTTCTACACCTTCACATGATGTGTGTAAGCTCAAACGGTCCTTATACGGTTTGAAACAAGCACCACGGGTCTGGTTTGAAAAGTTTCATAATACCTTTCTCAACTTCTCTTTTATTCAAAGTCGGTATGACTCATCATTATTTCTTTACAAAACTGACAATGGAATTATTTTGTTATTAGTCTATGATGATAATATTGTCAAAATAAAATCTAACAATCAATTGATGTCTCAGCTACAGAAGCGTCTTCAATGTTCTTTTCATATGAAAGATATGGGATCATTAACTTATTTCTTAGGACTTGAGCTTCACTCTTCTCCCGCTGGTATTTTTCTTCATCAACACAACTATACGACACAACTATACCACAACTATACGAAGGGACTCATTGTTTTGGCTGATTTTCAAGATGGTCGCTCTGTTGATACTCCTTTGGAAGTAAATTTCAAATATCAACAGAATGATGGTGACTTTTTATCTTTTTTTTTTTATTTAAAGACCAAGGGCTAATTTTATTGAAATTGAAAATACATAGATTGTATGAAAGGACCCAAAAAAAGGTGTCCTACCCATACGATACATCAGATACTAGAATCCTAAAAGGATGAAACAAAGATAAAACACAAAAAAAACAAAGCTTGCAGGAAATAAGCTGCTAGGCACGAGCCAGCTTAGTCTTGCCTCTGCCTCTGGTTCTAGGACCGGAAACAGCTAACAAATTGCTGAGTGTCGTTCCATTACCCGAAGTTACTAGAGTATCATCCATTAATTTCCCAAGCTGGGGTGTGCCTCCATTCTTCTTTTTCTTTCTAGATGTGTAAACCTGTCATTCCTCATCCGAGGACTGGCTCATCTGATCGGTGTGGTCAACGGATTGTTGAATTGTTGGGCATGTAGGAGAGAATGGGCCCCCAGCTCCTTACTAGCAGTAACAACATTCTGATTCTGGAGATGTGGTAAGCATGTCTCTTCAACACCTGAAGCCTCCTGGGGATGTGGAGCTTCAATACTATCCTGATTATCGAACCCAAGTAAACCATCTGCCAATATATCAGTCGGAAGAACAGAAAGAATATTGTCTCCGATAGTGGGAGGTGGAGGTGGCATCGTGTCAACCGGTGTTTCAATAGTTTGTGGAATGCCCTCAGGAGCGGATGAGGGACATGTATGAGGTGGGGCAGATCCAGAAGCGTTTTTATTTAAATTTGGATGCAACTGATAACATTGAGAATGAGAATGTCCAAACATACGGTAGTGAGTACAATAAAGTGGTATTTGTTCAAGTTCTACTTGTTGCCAAAATCTCTGATGTTGTGTGTCAATCCATATTTCTCTCGGAAAAAGTAAAGTAATATCCCTTTCTATCTAAATTTTGGCTTCTGAAGGTCGAGTTAGATTCACTGTAGACGTGTCAGTTTTGAGAGGTTTACCGTATACCATCCCCAAAGCGAAGAGAAGCTCTTGATCAAAAAGGTGGATCTTCAAACCTGGGAAACGAAGCCAAACAGAAATTGTAGGAGGTTCAGTACGAGAGTCAAAATCCACCGTTCATTTTAACACCTCCATCACACGAGTTTCAATTCGAAGAAGTCTTCTCGCAAACAAATAAGTGTAGTGTTCATCATTTGATAATTGAATGAGAATGTGACGACCATCCAATTTACCGATCTTCCAACCCCCTTTTAGCTTCATTTGCTCAAAGTCCTTTCGAATTAGTTCAAGTTTAGGGTTTCCATAAAGAAACTTACCTACTAAGAACAGTCG